GTGAGATGAGATCGGAGTTCGGTATCGATCCTGAAACGAGATTGAAGGTTCGTGTGTAGTCCTGAGGCCTGTACAGTACACAAGGAGGGCAAAGAGATGAATTCAGCTCCAGCACAACGCATATGCGTCGTTCAGGTGAATTTGGAGACAACACAACACAGGCACTCACATGTGTGATTCCTCAAACTTCAATGCAGAGTAATCAAGTGTGATTGATGCGGCTGAAATGTACACAAAGCAAACTTGAACATCTTGTCAGCCCATCTTAATCAACCATCAAAAAGATCAAGCAGACTCACCGAGGCTCCTTCAGATGAAGGGTCCAAAGGAAGATTTGTGGGTGGGTAGATCAGCAGTTGACCGGGCTGGTTGGAGGGTTGATTTTTGAGGTGTTGGGATTGAATTTTTCTTTTGGGAAGTGAAATCAGGAGGCCAGAATATGAAATGGGGGGGGTAAAAAAATCTTTTGGGGGTTGAATGACCAAAGGATGATTCTTTATTGGGTTAATGGGCAGGTGGGTTGGATGAAATTTCGTCATTTGGGATTGAAATCGAGTGTGATTTTGGGGAGTGAAATCTGGCGAGTAGAATTTGAAATGGAGAGTCAAAAAAATCCTGGGTGAAATAGGCGGTAAAAAAATTCTTTCGGGGGCTTCAACATGTAGTTTGTTAACGACTTGCCCAACAAAACCAAATGAAAAGACTTACCTACGCAAAGTGGGCCAGTGTGATTCCACGCATCTTAGCTCTAAGATCATAATTTGGAACATCGTCATCATCGGAGTCACTTTCACTGTCTTCAGGAGCCTCATCTTCATAAAGATCATTCCATTGATCTTTGAGGTCAGCCAGCAGATTATGTAGAACGATGCAAGTAACTATCCATTTCACAGCGCCCTTCATCTCCTCCGCATTACGGATTTGAGTTCGAATTTCTCGTAAGCTTGCAAAACGACCTTTGAGAATGCCAATGGCATGTTCAATCCTGACTCGAGATTGTGCTAAGTGGTAGTTGAAATTGATGTTCCGACGTTTGAGCAAATGCTTGCCTTTGAACGCAGGGATAACATAACGATCGTTGGTGTAGGCTGAGTCTGCTAGTAGGAATTGCTTTCGATCAAAGTACTTTTCAGGTTGTTGGGCCACTTGCATGTGCGAAAACACATAAGCATCATGTGATGAGCCAGGAAATCCAGCCAGATAAGAAATGAACTTTTTGTTGATATCACATATGACCGTTACTGAAATGGAGTATCTGATCCAAGCAGCCAAGAGAAAATAATAATCAATCAACAAGGGAGATTTTTTATATAATTCAGCAGTATCAAAAACCTAACCTCTTCTTACGATCAAAGTAATGTTGCCCATCCTTGGGGGGCTTCTGACTCAAAGGGATGGTCGTTCCATCTACAAATCCCACACAGCCAGGGAATCCTTCCTCTCGCATGACCTGAGATGATTCTATTCGTTCAGATTCGGTAGGCCAAGTGACTAAAGAAGATCGTAATCCATAAACAGCATGAATGACTCGTCTAGTATACAGGTCGATCGTTCCAAATCCAACTTGAAACAGATTTTTGAGCCTGTGGATAGCTGAACCGTTTCCATTCGATCCAAGACGACATACTGCTACAGCAATTTGGATTGGTGGATCCCTTTGGGGATTACGAGAGTTGTTGTAGAAGATGGGGTTTTGTTCGATGAGCTGTACCAGGTTGAGGAAGCAAGGAAAAGTCATACGAAACATCTGCACAAAGCTTAATTCTGGAAGTTCTTGAAGCTCAGACAAGTCATAACGAGGATCAAATCGTGTCGTGGAGTTTCGAGCTACTAGGTATCGTTTTTGAAGCTGACTCATAGAGAAAAAGTAAAATTCTTCAAGTTCTGAGTCGTGATCTGAATCTGAATCGTCCATCATGGCCATTGCAGCAACATTGGATGCTTCGATTATTTTCTTTCTTCGAGATACTTTGGGCATGATTGCTTTTGAGGACTTGAGTGGAGGCAATCTTGGTGTTGAAGATGATGAGTTGGTGGTGGGATGATTGGTGCTGATGATGTGAAGTTTGGTGGTCAGATGATCAGTTTGGTGGTGGGATGATCGGTGCTGATGAGGTGAAGTTTGGCGGTGCAAGTGAAAATTGGCGGTGATATGAGTTGAAACAAATGGGATATTTTAATTGACTGGTTTGGGTGAAAAGATGTGTGTTTTTTTGTTCAAAACCCGTTGGGGTTGATGGAGGTGGATTTTGGAAACCCGTCAATTAATAATCGTGGATTTCAAAAAAATAATTGACGGGTTTGCAAAGGTGGATTTGCTATATTTGATACCCCCTATTATGTTTTATGTTCAAATCTTGCAGTGCACATAATATATCTCCACATCAAAACAAAAATACAAAGACCCTAGAAATTCAATCCCTGAAAAGGGGTTGTTTGAGGTGAAATTCCCGACTTGAAAGCGCACCAAAAAAATCCCAAATTACTGTTCAGTTTTCACTTCTATGGTCTACTCCCTAAAATCACTCCCTCTTTCCCTGTCCCTTTCCTCTCTTTTCTTTCTTGGATTATCTTGATCTGGACTGAAATATAGTCTCTCACAGCTAGATTTCTGTTGAATCTTATGCACACTTGTAGTCTAATTAGAACTCATCGTGACAATTTTTATCACACAACTCTAGTCTCAAAGATTGATTTCTTTTTTTTTTCTAGCTTCACTATTTGATTCTTTAAAATCTGATGAGAATTAATGTCTTTCGATATTTGTGGTTTAACTTGTATTTTCTCTTGATTAACTTACTTGCATGACCAAAAGAGAGTGAGAAGACTTGTTGTGATTTTTCTTTCATGAACTCATATATTATTATTTACTCCTCTCAGTTTTTATTCAAAACCATCTTTTATTCATTTTTCTTTCTTCAACCACATTTTGATCACTTGGATTTAGTCTACGTAAGCCAGCCTAAATACGGTGAATAAAATACTATTGGTTCTCTCATTCTTTTTCTGTGAGCCACTCTCAAAAAGAATTTTTCTTCTTGGCCCTCTGCCTCTTTATAAGATCATCAGCCCAAAATTTTAACAATTACTCCTCCCTCCCCCCCAAAAAAAATTCAATTTATCTGCCTGATCATTGAGGAGTATGTTGTTCAAGCTGTGATGCCATCTTGTGAGTCAGGTTTCTGTTCACCAGTACAATGGTTCGGTGGTGTGGTCCATATCTGGATTCAGTGGTGTCTGAGCTGTGTTGGTGATAGTTGTGTGACAGATCCCTGGAGTGCCTCATGAGTGACATCTCTCTGTGTGGCCTATTGGACAGAGCACTTGCAGCAATCGGAGCCAGACCAAAGCACTCGGCCACGAAGGACAACCACCGACAAGATCACCACCACAGACACCTTCGACAGGCATTTTTTTTAAAAAAAAAGAGCAAGAAGGATGGCAGCATCACAAACAGTCCGTCGAATGATCGGCCGCGACCTCGGCGGCGTGGTCGCCAGCTCATCCTCAGTCTTCCGGACCAGCCCGGCCATCCTAGTCGCCGCCCATCCCGGCCGCCGATCGTTCTCCACCTCGCTCGTCTCTAGACTCGGCAATCCTCCCCGTAAGTCTCTTCGCCCCTCTGCTTGCTAATCTCTGTCGACTCGCGCTCATGCTTCGGTGGTCCTTCTCTTCTGTCTTAGCTATGGCTACTTCCCCGTTCAAGGAACCTGCTGGGCGGAATCCCGCCGACGCTTATGTCGAGGTCTCGTCAGTCAAACGTCACATCATCTCATCATACCATCATCGCTCATCTTTCTGGGCTTTTT